GTGTACTTTTACAAAATGTAAACTTAAATCAATCCTAAAAAAAACATGGATGTCGTCGTTAAGTACCACCTTATAAAGAAATGCCATTTGTCTGGCTATTATGCTAAACTACTGGGTTCAATGCTTTCTGAGTTAATGACACTGGACATGTATGCACATGAGTCAGAGAAGACAGAGCGGGATATGTGTATTCTTGTTCTGAGACAGCGACTTAAACATATTGAAGGTAGGGGGGATGGAATATTAGCCAGGGAACTAGTGTTTGCAGAATAAGAGGTCAGCAATGTAAGACTCCATGCTTCTCTCAAGAAAGGCTTCCATGAAGGGGAGTTAAAGTTGAGTGAACCACAGAGGTGTTCCACAGATAAGGCACCAAAAGAGCTCCATTTTATTAAATAATAAAGATCAAGTATATGGCAAGGCCTCTTCTATCCCTTTTCCTGTCACTGTAGCTGATACTAGGCAGACCAAAGCCACACCGCAGACCAAAGCCACACCGGAACGCCAAATCCAGTGACTTAGTATTCTTCTTTTGAACTTCAAACCAAGTTCTCTTTTGGCACTTCTCAATAAAAACATGGAGAGGAGGAGTGGAGCCATCAGTGACTGACAGTGAATTGCGTTTAATCCAGGATGACACACATTAACATGCGCCGGCGTGCCTATAGACCACTGTAGTCATCCAAATACATAAACTTCAAATACTATAAAAATTGAACAATATTCTCAGAAGGAGCACACATTGTCCAGCGGGACCTTTGGTTGGAAATAAATCATACATGCAAAGGACCCTAAAGCCTGAGCACACGTGTTCTGGAATCTTTAGCTTTGTTCTGGCATGGACCCCACATACACCTGCCATGCCACAACCCAATGAAAATGACTCCCTGCTGGCTACTATGGTGTTCACTCCGAATTGTTGGATGCGACGGGGGCACACCAAGGCTCTTAAAGAGAAGTATGATATTCCAGTACACAGTAGCATAGCGAGCATGCGCATCACGTTTGCGAGTGTGTTTGCCGCATGTCGCCCGTGGAGTTCAATAGGTTCCTGCACGTGCAACAAACACGGAAAAGTAGCCCATGTAGCAAATTACGCTACATGCGTCCCGTGTTTTTTTGCCCACGCATTTGCGCGCCGAGGTTTGGGTTGCCATTACTAAGTGTGTTTGCACGTTTATGATGCACGTTTTTTCCAGAGTTTGGCGTGCATTCACGGAATGCCTAGTTGTGAATGGGGACTAAGAGTGTACCTGGTCAGTCTTTTTCAACCCTTTCACCATAGATGAACACCTAAAATAGGATTCAGGTCTCAGGTAACCCTCAGAAAAAAAATTGTATATCTGGCAGCTCATAGAACATTAACTGATTAGTAGGTTGCACAGAGTTTTAGAAAAAGTGTAAATAACACACTCACAGTAAATTAATTTTCATCAATAATCATTACAAGGGTATAATAATAATAATAAGACAAAGAGAAACACAAACAGTGACAACTGAAGCGACCCCTCACATTGGTGATCTGTTTAGAAGTAACCTTTTACATACAGTAGATGATCAATGTAGAAGTGACCCCTTACTTTGGTGTACATCACTGTATTCAGAATGTCAGTCTTCTACAGTTCTCCCCTAGCAACCTCTGGAGGATCCCAAGAGTTCAACAGAACCATGGATTGGAAAGGCTTCTCTAGGCCCATGGTTGTGCTCGTTTTTGAAAAATACTCTAAGTCTGCTAAGATAATAAATGTCACAGGCCAAAGCCTTCCCTGTTTCCTTATTGATAACCAAAATCAAATATTAATATAATGTCCGGTCTACTGGAGGTGGTGAAAGCCACATGAGAGGCCCTCAAAATCGAAAGGGTTGTCTACCATTGTAATAGAGGAATGCAGACAGTTCTTTCAATCGATAGGCCTATTGCTGATTGCTGACCTATCCATTCCCAGCTTGCCCATCTGCCTTGTGTTTTGGTCAGCAACGCAGAATAATATCTTCTGTTTCTGAGAACTAAACTCAGTTTAGATGACTGACGAGGCTTTTATGGAAAACATTTCGTGGGGGTGGACAGTTCTTCACGCTACTCAATGATACAGTGTTTTCACATTTTCCAGCCTTGCTCACACCCCGTCATGGTTATTTTCGACCTCTGTCCAGCAGTCATGGAGAGCCTAATGAATGCTACATTTATTTGGCTTCTGAAGATGCTTTTACACCCACGCAAGCGGAGGAAAAAACTGCAAAGACTGACCATAAGGATTAGAGATTGACTAAGGAATATAAGTTTGTGAATGGTTAAAGGGAAACTGCAATGGTTTTTGATCAATGTGTTTTTTTAATGCTATTAAATAAACATATCCCTTTGTCACTTTTTTCATTACTTTGCTTCAGAAATGATTAAATGTACGGTGCTTCAAGCATCGGTCTTCAATTTACATTCTAAGCTTTTTAATAAGAAACCACAGGAGTACCTTCTCATTTGTGGATTGTCTCTTTTTAATGATTGTTTTGTTTACAGGATACAATAAACTTTACCGATATATGAACAGAAAAATCCTATTTTATCAGAATGCAGAGTGAACAATATTAAAAGGAGAACTATGAGGTGAGTGATTTACACTCATCCTCATAGTTCTATCTGACGTGTGACATTGGAACTGTCACAGGTCGGCTCTATTGATCAGGAAGTGAGCAAACACATACCGTCGCTCGCTCACTTCCCGATCATCTCCCTGCAGAGAGCGGTGACTGTCAGTCATCGCTCCCCGCAGGGATTACCCCCCTCCCCTCTCCGATTCTCCAGCACTGACTGGAGGAACAGACAGGGAGGGGGCGGGCACAGCTAGTTCTGCCTCTTGATAGGCAGAGCCCGCTATCAATCAGCCAACGGGGTGGATCTCGACAGTATTGTCAGGATCCATCCCAGCTGCGGCAATCTCAGTATATAGCGGGCAATAGCTCGCTATATACTGAGCTTTCGGTCACGGGAGGAGGTTAGTATATGTCTTCCCGTGACCCAAAGAGAACTATGGGATAAAAATGTTGCCCCATAGTTCTCTGTTAATGATGAAAAGTGTAAAACTTGCACAAAGTATACATGAAAGATGGAAATGAAGATGTTTTACAGTTGATTAGGTTCACCAAATGTGGATTGGGAAGCGCAAGAGCAGAATTGTCCATGGGCCCCCTATCTTTGTGTTGGAGCTGTGTGCGTGTCATAGTTGGACATTCACTTTCTAACTGATACTCCGTACAGTAGCCTAATAAACTAGAGATGGAGAAGGGGTGGTGACCCTTATCAGAGGGCTTAGTGTGTAAAGTCAAAATTTGCAAAAAAAACTGCCAGCAGACTCTAGAGCATCCTCTGCTGGCTGCACGTGGTAAATATAAAACACTAATTATGCATATTTCACATTTATCTGAATAAAAACCAAATAAAAATATATATTTCTAAAAAATCTTCTTCCATACCGGACATAATACAGATTCCTACATATGAGACATGACATCCTATCTAGCTGTAAGGAACTACAACTAGCTGCATAGCTTATAAGTATTGTGATAGGCAGAGCTAAGACAATCTTGATAAAAGATGTATACTGACATACATTTGTACATGTAAGCGAAGTCACTAAAGATCCAGTACTGACACTCATGATTCAGTTTACTGTATTATTAACAAAAGACTAAGTAATGCTGACATGGCATGAATTACTAGCAGTCCACATATGAGACATGTTAGGTCTCTTGGTACAGGCCAGTACTGTGAGTCCAAGGCTACTGACAAAGCTTCAGAGGGTCCAATCTACTACACTCTTTCCTTAGGACCCAGGTCCTTTTATTGGAATCCAGAACATTCCCAATTCAACGCTAAGAAACATTCTTCCAGAGGTCCTCCTGAATGTCTTTTTCCAATTGGACATGCCCTCAACAGGTCCAGGAGGGAACCTTTTCAGATGGCATCTGTATAAAATGTTGAAATCAACTCCAGCCACTTGTAGTTGAAAGGAGCACCAAATCTACACAGAGTTGCTTCAGGATAACCAAAATTCCCACTCCATCATGGAGAGTAAAGCCAAGCACAAACAAGAAGAGAAAGTCGCCCAATACGGGTGTTTTTTGTCCTCCTAAGCAAAGATCTTCCATCAATAGAGTTGACTGCAGGAGACTGGTCTTGACATCTCTACCAACTGGACACCTTGGACTTTTCTGTGCAATTTTCCCATATATTATATGGGTTTGACTGTGTTGATAAGGCAACCATGAATAAAAAGTGCTCCTGATCAAGGCCTTATATGTATCAATGGGGAGATCATCCATCGTGCACGGAGTATTGGATTCATATATCTGGAGATAGGAAGTCATTCCATGGTTTCTGTTCACTGGCAAATTATCAGATTCCTCTGCGTATAATCAACCAAAGCAGAGCAACCTAACACCAGTAATATTCCTTAAACCTAGATCTTACACAACAGAAAATGTTCCAGTTTGTTGGACCAATACAAGAGATCTGTCTGTGATTGGTTATGATCCATACACACCACAGTGGCATAGTGGTTATCGCTTCTGCCTTGCAGCACTAGGGGTCCCTGGTTCGAGTCCCGGCCAGGTCACTATCTGCAAGGAGTTTGCATTGTACTCAAGTTTCCTCCCACACTTCAAAGACATACTGATAGGTTAATTGGTTCCTGTTTAAACCTGGCCCTTGTATGTATGTATGCATGTGAGATAGGGACCTTAGAAGGGCAGGGACTGATGTGAATGTGCACTATGTAAAGCGAAGCGTAAATTGTCGGCACATTATAAATACCAGTAATGATTTTGGTTTAAATAATAAATAGCAGGTAGATCTGTCATATCAGCCACAAAGCCTGCCTGGTCTATGGCCATCATTATACATGAGACAAGCTAATTGTAAACCACGTTTTTCCTTCTCGCAGAGAACACTATTAGCTTATGTAGGGAACAAAAATGAACCTTAGTACAAGTCAGAAAACACTCACATAAGATCAGGTCGGTGCTTGTGTAGCATGGCACAAAATGCCAGCCCATCCCGGAAGGACGTGGTCATATTTGTGATGCTGACATCCCGATACCCTTCGCACTGTTGCTTGCACCACTGCTGGAGAGCCTTAATAGCAGCCATCCTGGACAAGACCCCTGGGGAAGTAGAAATAAAAAGAATGTCAGTTACTTGGAATCAATCTTTGATCATTTCTAACATCAACAACTATTGATGCACCAATACTGTTTTTCGTTGAGTACGAGTGCCAATATTTTTTTTTGGGTACTTGCCGATACTGAGTGCCGATACCAGTGCCCGGATTATCAGGAAGCCGGGCAGCGGATCATGACCTGTCACCCCGCTTTCCGATTGCCTGTGAAGCCGGTGTTCTATCGAAAGAACACCGGCTTCACTTGCCGAGGCTGCCCGGCTTCCTGACCAATCAGGGAGCTGGGCGGAGGGTCCTGAGGTGCCAGCAGACTTCCTTACGGGTCAGGAAGCCAGGCTGTCTAGCAACAAGGGAAGCAGGCTTCCTACTCAATCAGAAAGCCTGGCGGCACGTCATGACCCGTCTCCTGGCTTCCTGATTGGCTAGAAAGACAGCTTCACTTGTTGCTAGGCAGAATGGCTTCCTGATTGGCTAGGAAGCAGTTCTCACTTGTTCCCAGGCAGCCTGGCCTCTTGACCAATCAAGGGGCCGGGAGGCGGGTCATTACGTGCTGCCCGGCTTTCTTGATTGGCTAGGGAGCCGTTCTCACTTGTTCCCAGGCAGCTTGGCTTCCTAACCAATCAAGAAGCTGGGAGGCGGGTCATAACCCACCACCCAGCTTCCTGATTGGAAAGGAAGCTGGCTCCATGCCCCCTTGGCATTGCCGGTCAGAGGGAGGGCTCCCCCGGAAGTTCTGGTATCGGAGGTAAGTATCGGGGGCAACCCCACTGCAAGGGTTCATTTTTTTATATGCCCGGAGTTCTTGTACTATGGATAATGGTCCGACTATCAGATATTCCTCTTCATCAATGACTACTTGACCCTATAAACACGCATGGCCTGTGACCTGCCTATCTTTGTGTTCAAGAGAGAACAAAGCGAAAGAAAACATGTGATGGTAAAAGTAAAGAGCAGCAGATTCCGCAGATCAGAGACATCGGAGCGGACGGTGAACAGACAAGGATCTGAATCCTGATCTCAGGAAGTGCGCCGCACACATCATAACAGGATACCCAGACAAAACGTTCAGACAATGGCCAATCTTAGCAACATTTCACACATCCAGCAACCTCCTGCTAACACAAATACAGCTCATCAACCTTCACTGGCCTCATCTAGCTGTGTATACAGGTTTTTACTAGAACCGTACAAAGAAAGCATTACAAACCTTCTATAGGCCCCCTTCATGCTTACGCGGATGCAGCATTGCATGCATTTTCATGCGTCACATGCCGGACGGCCCATTTCAATCAATGCACCTTTGTTTTCAAACTGCATTACACCTCAATGCATAGTACATTGAGGGGAATGTATCAAAACTGGAGCAGACAGAATCTGGAGCAGGTGCCCATGGCAACCAATCCACCTTTCTTTTTTCATTTCACCTTAACTGAACAAACTGAAGAGATAAGCTGATGGGTTGTCACAGGCAACTGCTCCAGATTCTTCTGCTTGTTTTGATAAATGTGTTCTGATGCAAATAGTGCAGCAAGGTGTGCTGGGGTGCCGTTAACAGTGAATGGCACTGCAGTCCATCTTACAAAAGGGGCACGCATGTGGTGTGCTGAAACGCACACAAAAACTCATGTTGCCGCATCACACAGGGCCCTAAAAAATAATAAAATCTTAACCCTTGAAGTGGGGTAACCCCGAACTTCAAAGGTTAAGTGCTCGCATTGTCTAGGCATCTAAAATAACAAAGATATACTCACCTGAACTATGATCCCGGCTGGCTGTTAGACCGGTCCCTTCAGCCTGCCTCCTCCTCCACTCCAGCGATGGACTGTCCCTACTTGCATGTCATAGCCATCATCTCTTCTGGGAGTGTCTAATTACTGTGTGTGCTGGTTCAGCTCCTCTGGCCATCCCCTCCCTACAAAACCATTTATGTAGCAGGGGAATACTATAGAGTAGGGGTAGGCAAACTCCAGCACTCCAGCTGTGGCGAAACAACAAATCCCATCATGCATCTGTCTGCGGGAGTCATGCTGTGACTGTGAGAATCTTGCAATGCCTCATGGGATTTCTAGTTCCACAACAGCTGGAGGGCCCGGAGCTTGCCCACCACTGCTATAGAGTGTCAGCTGTGAGTCTGCTGGGGCTGTTACTATAACAACCAAGATGGTGGCACCCAGTGGTAGCCTCATGGCTCTAAGTTTGCTGGGGCTGTTACCATAACAACCAAGATGGCGGCACCCAGCGGGCTTTTGGATGTCGACACAAGGGAGATTTTCGGGAATAACTGCACAGCGCATTAACCAGAATTGTTAAAGCTATATGGCCTTTGTATAGCAGCTTCTGACCTACTGGTGTTATATCATTTTTCATTAGCGCAGATTATTTTTTCCTCTATTACAAGGGAGATTTTGCAGGTAAAAAACATGCCTAAAATACATTAAACGCACATATAACCTTATGAGAAGATTGTTGTTAAATTGAATGGTCTGGTGACAGGGTCTCTTTAAAGAATATCAAAAGCTAAACCCTTCGAATAGACCGCGCCTGCACAAGCTTTGCAGATTGTTTGGTCTAAGCAATTCTAATCTCAAACTACCGAGCAATTTCCATTCTTCTGGCAATTGCCTTGTTTTGCAATACATTGTAAATAATTAAACACATTGCAAATTAGGTGATTACCAATTGCTCAAGACAATGAGATTAAATTCAAATGTGTTGTAGTAGCTCTGGACTGCCTGTGTAAAGCTGGTCACACAAGAAACAATCTTGGACCCGGTTCACACCTGGGCGTTTCGTTGCGCTTTTTTTGAAACGCATGCATTGTAAGATTCCATACATTCCTATGGGGGCCTTTCACGTGAAAAATTGCACGTACAAATACGCCTGTCGCTTGAAATACTCCCCGAGCTTCTTTTGTTGTGCTGATCAGCTGGTCTTGCCCTATAGACTAATCAGCGCGTTTTTGTGCGGATTGCACGTTTTCAATCGCGTTTCAGCGTGTTTTACAAGCCAGTCCACTGTAGGGAAAGCCACCAGTTTGCAAGGCCCTCCCCCTATTTCCAAAGTATAGTGGGATCCAAAATGGAGGTGTCAGAGAACTCCTTTGATGCTGCACTATATGATCCCAGGGATCCAAATTATACAAATAAAAAAGGGAAGAGGAACCAAGCGCGGTGTGATATTGGTGCAACGATGTTTTCTGATTGGACGACCTGCACAGAAAGCATGAAAGACATCAAAAGTAAGCTGAGACTGCTTTTCATTGGACGACTGTCAAAAAACGAGCTGAAACACGACTAATATCGCTATTGCTTAAAAACAAAAAACGCCTGTAAAAAGCACTGAGACGCGCACAAACATGCTTCCAAAAACGCGCGTAAAGCTCAAAAAAAAAAACAGTGTCGCCCTGGTTGGCCCGGTTCACACCAGGGTGTTTTCGTTGCGTGTTTTTTTAGCTCTGAAACTAATGCATTGTAAAATCCTATATATTCCTATGGGCGCCGCTCACGCAAGCGCACTGTCCAAATACGCCTGACACTTGAAATGAGCTTCTTTTGTAGCGCTGATCAGCTCGTTTTGCTCTATAGACTTCAATGGAAAGGTGCTGATCAGCATGGTTTTGTGGAGGTTAGCGCGATTTTTCCAAAAATTAGCTGAAACACAGCTAAAAACGCTATTGCTAAAAACAGAAAACGCCTATAAAACGCATTCAAACGCTTCAGAAAATGCGTGTAAAGAGCGCTGAAACGCTGTCGCCCCGGTATGAATGGGGTAGGCCTCGTTCACACGGGCATCCAAGGGCCGGTAAATTCAGGCGGTTGACCCGTTCTTTTACCGCTCTGCGGCAGCCCGCTGACAAGTTAGCACCGGACATGGCTGTACACATTGCTGCGGCCATGATGTTTGGTGGTGTGTGCGGTAAGAATTAGGATGTTGCTTTTGTCAGGTGGTGCCGTTTGCCGAACGCGACCATTAATGTGACCGAGACTTTGGCACGCAGTTGTGGCGCGGTAGTTCCATGTAAAAATCTCCCTTGGAATCAAAGGGGAAAAAACAGCCATTCCGGAGGTGGCAGCATCTCCTCCTGAACGCCGCTGTTCTGCCGCCGTCTGAAAAACCACCGCGGGGCCGGTAAAGTCCACCACTCGTCTGAAAGAGGCCTTATAGTAAAATCTCCTTTATCTCCTTTATCAATAACTTTGTGACTAGATATAAAGTGTATCTAAACCCCAAAACAAAAATGGAATATACTGCAGCTCACCAGACCTCAGATGTGGTAGTTTCTATCAGGCCTTTTCCCTTTATTTTCACCTGGTGATCCTGACAGTAACACACTTCCTGTCCTAAGGTGACAACACTCACTCGCCAAACTGTATCCATGGAGGAGCAGCGTTGTCACTGTAGGACGGGACTACTTCTCCCTCTTCTCTGTAACAAAGGGGAAGGTGTTCTGTAGTCCGCAGAGAGAACTGAGAACAATGGAAACAAGTAGTAGAGGCAGAGAACACAGGAAGTCATCAGCTGACAGGATCAACAGGTTTTTTTTTAACCTCATTGAATAGATATAATAAAACCCTATAAATGTACAGATGCTCCTGTATTAAAGACCGGTCAATGCTGCTCTCTCTCCTTTTGCAGGATGGCTGGTCTTGTCTCCACCCCCTCTCCTGGAGTTTGCAGTGGGTGGGGCCTGCTGGTCTGCTCAGGTTATGTAGAGCACAGTAATGATGTCACTGCTACTTTTACAAAGTAACAACTGGGTCTGGAAAAGCATTTGGTGCACATATAAAGGATTTGTATCCTTTGTTGCTATTGAGGAATATTTGTAAAGGGGAACTCCAGGATTTTCAAAAGTTAACCTTTGCAGTGAGGCTACCCCCCACGCTGAAAGGGTTAACGGCTCGTTTTGGTCTCGGGGCAGGCACAAATAAAGAAAAGATAATCACCTGATCCTCCATCCTGCCTGGGCACAGGCGGTCTAAGCCCTGCTGAAGTCATCATGTCTAAGCAAGGTCCATTCACCTGCACTGGACGCATGGACGTTCCACAGCCAGAGCGGAGGGGCAGAGAGGCGAGCAATCACTGCCGCAGGACCGAAGATCTTCTTTATTGTGTTCTCTAGACCAAAACGAGCCAATAACCCTTGCAGTGAGGGGTAGCTCCACTGTAAGGGTTACTAAAAGTCTTGCCCGGAGTTCTAATTTAAAGAGGAACTCCGGGATTTTCAACAGTTAACCTTTGCAGTGAGGCTATCCCCCACGCTGAAAGGGTTAACGGCTCGTTTTGGTCTAGGGGCAGGCACAAATAAAGAAAATATACCATAGATTGTAAGCTCCTTGGCCCAGGGACTGATGTGAATGTGGAATATATATATATATACAGCGATGTGTAAATTGTCAGCTCAGTATAAATGGCTGTCATAGATAATAAGATAACACCTATAGATTGTTTATTAAAGATCCGTCACCATCCCTGACTGTGTGATTGTAGTTAGATGTGTCCTCCTGTCATCAGGCAGCTGTCATGTATGATGGATGTCAATAAAGGGACCCTCCTGTGATCAGATGAAGGGACCTCCTCCTACCTGCAGGCATGTTACACAGATCAATACAATGGGAGCTGATCACAGCACCTCCTGAGCAGAGATATAGCGGACAGAAACTACACCTTACCTCCTCCAGCTCGCAGTCACTGATCGTCGGCTCTCTTGTTGTCACGGTGGGGTCACTGTGTGCTCTCCTCCATATGCCGCCCGGGACACGTACACACCGATCGCCTGTTGCTGTCTGCCCGCACACAGCCCGGTACACAAGATCACTGCAGCAGAGCCCAGGGAGTGGGCGGGGACTCCGCAGGGGGAATGGGCGGGCCCGCCTGCCAATCTCCATTGGAGAGGGCGGGGCTAGTGATCGGCGTGCTGCTTGTTGTGAGGGTGGAAGGTGATGACCGAGATGTTTCTTGTTCACAGTCACAGGAACATTACTCAGCAGAACACTGCCACCGGCTGGGACGTCATGAGGAGGACGTGTAGACTCTCCTTGTACCACTATGAAGCTACAGGCGCTTTACGTGAAATCACTGGGCAAGGAGAGGCGGGACTTGTGTACACGGGCGGAGCTTCCAAATGTCACAGTCAATTCTCCCAATTTGGTTTACCAAAGCTGGTCATACAATCGACTTGTACAATCTCTGTGCGATCTCCTTAAGGGCCCATTCACACCATAGCAGGCTATCACACAACGCACCTAGTATGTGTGTTCATGCAATAAGTGCATCGCATTGCCATTCATTTAAATAGCACCCCAATGCACCTCCCAGTTACCGTGTGCTGCAATCACACACACACACACAAAAGGGCAACGGGGCCCAGTTGTAGCTGGTAGCTTTCCCACTAACTCCAAGCTGTAGAGGGACTACAAATGCCAGCAATACATTATACAGCACTGTAGAATAATACCACCAGCTATAGAGGTCTACAAATCTCAGCAATACATCATGCAGTAATGCAGAATAATACGAAGCCACATACTCTGTGTTGTTCCAGGGTGGCGGTCTCATGTCTCTGCGGTCCCAGGAGGCTGTGCAGTGTCTCGCGTGGGCACTCAGGTGGGCTGTGTGGGCTCTTAGGAGGGCTTTGTGGGGTCTCAGGAGGGCTTTGCATGCTCCCAGGAGGGCTGTGCAGGGTCTCAAGAGGCTGTATAGACTCTCAGGTGGACTGCACAGTCTCTGAGGTGGGCTGTGTGGTGTCTCAGGTGGCCAGTGTGGGGTCTCAGATGGGCAGTGCAAGGTCTCAGGTGGGCTTTATGTGGTCTCAGGGGGCTATGGTGGGCTGTGCAGGATCTCAGGTGGGCTGTGTGGCGTCTATGGTGGGCGGTGCAGGATCTCAGGTGGGCTGTGTGGGGTCTATGGTGGGCGGTGCAGGATCTCAGCTGGGCTGTGCAGGGTCTTAGGAGGGCTTTGCTTCTTCTCACCAGGGGTCTGGAGTTGGGGAACATGGTCCCATAGGAATTTGGAGATGTTCAGCCGGTGCTGTAAGAAGTGCCTCGAGTTCCCCAGAAGACTGCAGTGAGGTCCCCAGCAAGTGCGGGACCTTATGACAGCCGCTTTGGTTTAAAAATTGAAAGCGTAAAGTATCGGGGCATTTTTATGAGTGCAAGTACTCGTGGAAATGCCAAGTGCACATAAAACGTGTGTGCATTTCCACAATGCACAGGTGTGTACAGACCCTAAAGCTGGCCATACACCTATAGAGTATCTGCAGACTTTCTATGGTCATATGGAAAAAGTGCAACAGATTCCTCCATCTGTAATAAACAGTGTGGATGGAGGAATCTCCCACTGGGCCGAGCTTCAGTATCTTGCTAGTTGGCTGGCTCTCAAAATACCTGAACAATCTGATTGGATGCAGGCACTGTTCAGGTGTTTTGAAAGCCAACGGGGCCGACTAGCAAAATACTGAAGCTTGGCCCATCTGACCATAGAAAATCTGCAGATAATCTATAGGTGTATGGCCATCTTAAGACAGGGGGGCAACTCTGGCACCTGTCAAATGGACAGGAAGTAGACAGATTTTCCCTTCACTTCCTCCACTGTCTGACACCTGTCAAATAGACAGAAAGTGGAGAGATTTTCCCCTCACTTCCTGCTCTGTGCAACACCTGTGACATAGGAAGTGTAGAGATTTCCCCTCAAGTCCTGCTCTGTTTGACACCTGTCAAATGCAGACATTCCAGCTCTCCCAGATGTTCCGGGAGTCTCCTGCTATTAGATAGCGGCTCCCGACTGCCCGGGAGATAAACATTTTCTCCCGGAAAGAGAAGAGAAAAAAAACTAGCATAGGAATGAATAGCTAGATTGGTATTGGCTATTTCAATTTGCAACAGGTAATAGCAGACTCGCTATTGCACCTGCCCACTGCTGCTGTCAATCAGCAGAGGTGGACCTGAAGTTCTCCATCAGGTCCTCCTCTGCTGATTGACAGCAGCAGAGGGTGGGTGCAATAGCCAGCTTGCTATTGCAAATTGAAATAGCCAATAGCAATCTAGCTATTCATTCCTATGCTGGGTTTTTGTTTGTTTTTTTTATCCTGATGGCAGCAGCTGTCAGAATACTAAAAAATCAAACAAACCCAGCAGATAGCACGGGAAGAAATAGCTTCTTTGCTATCTGCCATCATTTCAAGGGGGTGCTCTTCCCTGCGCAGATGGGGAGTACAGAGGGCACCTCCCTGAAATGAGAAGGGCACCTCCCTGAAATTACTTTTTTTCAGGTTGGGATCCGTGCAAATGCACAGGAAGTGGAGAGATTTTGCCTCACTCTGCTCTGTCTGACATCTGTGAAATTGATAGGAAATGGAGAGATTTCCTCCTCTGCTTGGTCTGTATGTCACCTGTCAGATTACTCTGGGGGTTTTTCATGTCATCTAGTTCTCTGCTGTGGAGATGTTCCCTCACTTCTTGTCCCCTTGGGCAACAAAGTAATAAATAAATATGCAAACAGAATCTGGTCAAGGTTGTGAAATACATTGTGTCAGATCATATGACCATGAAACATGTTTGGGAGAAAGCAAGAAAACGCGTGCACTCATGTTTATTTCCTCACAGCGTGTCAGTAAGGCAGCGATGACTCAGGTGTCCTGTTGCACATAAAGGGCTTTCCGAAGAAGAAAAATCTTTGTTAAAACATGTAAATCAAATTTTAAGTTCAGTTTTGAATAGAATGAGGAAGGACCTGTCAATTTTTTTCTGGTCTCTGGGTTGGGGCTTCTTTGGGGAGATTTTCCCTCTCTGGTTTTACCAGGCTGGAGGGGACATTGGAAATAGGGGCAGCAACAAAAAGCTGACAGGGGGATTACTGTAGTCTTCTCCTATGTTACAAAAAAAAAACAATTCTGTCTGTGTTGCTGTTGGAGTCAGTACTCAATAGGATACATTAAAGGAGAACTATGAGCTGAGTGCTTTTCACTCACCTCATAGATATCCGCTCCGGCGTCTCAGTATACCGCGAGTTACAGCTCGCGGTATACTGAGCTTAGGGTAACGGGAGGACGCTAGTTTGTGTCCTCCCGTTACCCAAAGGAGAACTATGGGGAAAAGCCCTGACCCCATAGTTCTCCTTTAAGGGTCTAAGGCCTTGTTCACACCAAGCGCAGAGCAGGAGCAGGGCAGTTTCAGACCGGAGCAAAACTGCATCCAATGCATTCCAATGGTATTTTTAGCTCCAGTTCACATCGCATCGTTCAGTTCCAGAGTAGGTTAAAAAAACTGCAGCAGGCCCTTTTTTACCTGCTCTGGAACGCATGCAAACGCCCTGGAACGCACTGAAACCCCATTTTAAACTAAAAAAACAGCAAACGCGGCAAAAACATGGCACAACCCACTGCACTGCGTGTGCAGAAACCTAAGCAGATCTGCTCTGCATTTGGTGTGAACAAGGCCTAAGGGTGTAAGGCCTTGTTCACACCAAGCGCGTTCCAGGAGCAGAGCAGTTACAGACCGGATCAAAACTGCGTCCAATGTATTCCAATGGTATTTTTAGCTCCAGTTCACATCGCAGCGTTCCGTTCCAGAGCAGGTCCAGAGCAGGTGAAAAAACTGCAGCAGGCCCTATTTTACTAGCTCTGAAACGCATGCAAAGGCATCAAAAATGCATGCAAACGCCCTGGAACGCACTGAAAGCCCAATTTAAACTTAAAAAAAACCGCCCGGAACGCAGCAAAAACGCAGCAAAAAACACGGCACAAGCCACTGCACTGCGTGTGCAGAAACTCATGCAGATCTGCTCTGCATTTGGTGTGAACAAGGCCTAACAGATAGAAGAGCTGTCACAAACAATTTATTATTTCATAGGGGGCTTGGCTGCCCGAGTGAAAATACTTTTTTTTTAAATGTTAAATAAAATATAAGACCGTAAATGCAATTAAAAAAACAAAAACTTTTTAAAGCCACCCTGTCCTCCACATGCATCTATGAACACAAACACATAGGTAGGACATGCATGTGTATGTAAACGATCACTGTGCAATGCATATTAGGTATCACCATGCATGCCAAAGGAGGAAGAATAAATCTAGGGCCAGCATGGTGGTTATTAAATCTAAAATAAAGTAAAGGGCATCACACCATCACACCAGATGCCGTGTGTTCCGGCCCGATTCTGGCCAGAACGCGCTGCCTCGCATTGCGGCCGACTCACTTTTTTGTGGGGCAGGAGGGGGCGTGGCGGGCCATTGAAGTGAATAGTAGAAAGGCATCATGGCACACTCACAAACCAGCATGTAAAACAACTTGTCTCACCACTAAGGACAATGATCAAAGCCCATTTTGTGTGCACCTTACTGTATAACTGGTAACAAATTGTTGAGTGCGTTTGTCGTTTGTTTTGCTTTACCATTGAAGTGAATGACACCGTAGCTACGCCCTCCGGCCGCAATGCGATCGGCGGCACGGGATCGTAAGGCACATTATGCCTGCAGTCCGGTCCAGTCCAGTTCGATCAAAATGCTGCAAGCAATATTTTGATTGCACCGCAAGCATAATATGCCTTGCAATCCCATGCGGCCGATCGCATTGCGGCCGGAGGGCGTGGCTGCAGTGCCATTCACTTCAATGGCCCGCCACGCCCCCTCCTGCCCCACAAAAAAGTGAGCCGGCCGCAATGCGAGGCAGCTGGCCAGAATCGGGCCGGAACACACTGCATCTGGTGTGATGGTGTGGTGCCCTTTACGGTTCATCTGCATCTGGTGTGAACGGGCCCTAAAGGTTTTTTTATACATGGAGAAGTTATACATGGAGAATT